CCCCCCCCCCCCCCCCCCCAAATTGCCAATTAGTTTTGGAGTAGAACCTCAACTTCCTTCATGGTATCAAAGCGGGTTGCCCAAGTGTTAAAGCTCAAAGGCCTCACGTGCTCCGCATCACCCAAAATGTGTTGTCCACGTGATAGACTTGAAACCTTATAAATTCCTCCATATGCACCACTTCCACCGCATGGCGCCTCCCCTTCCACGAAACCTTATAACTGTGGAGGAAAGAGAATTGCCAAATAGTATAATTTATCAAGAATGTTACTGAATATGTCTTCTATGACTCTGCTCATCCAACCGACAGGGTCTACGAACAGTTTGCCAAGCAAATATGGAGTGGAAATTCCATCACCACACCTTACAATCTGAAAGCACTATTTGAAAATTAGCTAAGTAAGATTATTTTCACGGATTTTTTTCTCTTTGATCTTAAATTTTTGTGAGAGTTATAATAAGAATGTTAGAGTGTACCTTTTGTGAATATTGGAAATTATGATTTCCACACAAAAAATTTATACCCTTGGATGAAGATATATATATATATATATATATATTTGAGCGTTTTCACTTGTATACTGTCAACTTCATGGGTTCTGACAATGTTGAACCAGGTTGTTATCATATCAACTGCAAGATTGTAAACCTGATTAGTATTTATTGTCTTGTTTTGCCAAATGGTTATTATTTTAGGTTTGCTCAACCAGCTGTTTGTGGATCATGACAGTATTTTACTAGTCATGTTCAACCAGAAACCAGGATATCATTATCTCATAGTTTATTAGCCATGTGTGTTCAGAAAAGAGGGAGAAATTATGAAAAAGGATGTCATCATATATGGGGCCCATCCATGAGATTATATATAATATATATGATCACTAAGCAAAGAAATTTTACTTTCTATAAAAAAAATTTAAAAAAAATCTCATGTTATTTAAGTATTGTTGTTGTTCTGATATATGAATTAAGTTCTAAACAGGCATTTTTTGGATGGTGGGGGGGAGGGAGACAATAGTGAATGGGTCTGTCTGTATGCCTCACTGACAGACTGACTTACTCTAACCATGAACTAACTCTGGTTTAGTTAGCTGAATTACATTGACTTTGACTTCTAGAAGCATTGGCTGCTTTTCAATGAGAAGATTCTTTGGAGGAAGGCAGCTGATGAAACTGAAGCTGAAATTGCAAATTTTCCATTTATTGACTTTTAGTTCCCAAACTTTGCCGCAGCTATTTTTTATTTTTTAATTGGATTATAATATATTATTTTGTGATTTAATTGAAGCTAATGAAGACAAAAATTTCTAACTGTATCATGCTAAGCATCAACCTCCTCTCATTTCTGTCATCTTTTTCTATTTTAGTTCACTTTCCTTGACTTTTCTTTATGTTATCTGGACCAGGAAGTAATTTCCTTATTAAATTGAATTGAAACAGAGAAAAAGATGATATAATGCAAAGTTATACCGAACATACTGGAATGGCATCTTTCAGGTTTCAAATCTATATCTTGGCTTTATGTGCAGGCCTTGTTATTCAAAGCAGCTGCCATGGCCATTCTGGGCTTCAGAAAAAACATGTAGCCCTGTTCATCTTTGGTGATTCACTCTATGATCCTGGAAATAATAACTACATAAATACCACAAAAGATTTCCAGGCAAATTGGTTGCCATATGGTGAAACATTCTTCAGGTACCCAACTGGTAGATTTTCTGATGGGCGTTTAATCCCAGATTTCATTGGTAAGAACCATCTTGTGAGTGATATTGTTTGTGATAATACAAACACATGATACAACTAACTATTAGATTTACACTTGATTTAGATTAGCTTGGGCTATTTGGCCCTAGCTTGAGCTCTTGGCTCCCTTAGTTTGGGAGTTCTTTTTGTTAAGACTCCACTTTGCTTTATTGCATTGCATGCCTATTTATAGGCATTCTTTGCCGACATCACCAAGTCCACCGACTTGGCCCCTTTTACCCCCGTCACAAGTATGTGGCTTTTACTAGAAACGTTTATATTTTTGTGGATATTGTTTAGCCATCATGCTCCACCGCCTTGTTCTTTTCTCCAGCCACAAGTGTGTGGCTTCATCTAGAATATTCTCTGCATATTTTTTTGTGTATTGCCGACATTCCATAATCTAGTTTGTAGTTTCTTGAGTTTTCTAGAATTGTGTAGTTACATCTACACAAATATGCATTACTTTTCAACAAATTTGAAAGAGTTATTTGAAGTTCAGAAACCTACGTATTTTTTAGTTTCAATAAGCGCCTGTGAATTTGCACAGACAATCTCTGTTTATAAATAAATTATGGTTTGATATATCATTTTTGTATTAATGTATTCACAACTCAAAAATGGATGTGATAGATGTTTTCTGCACTCCAATACTTGACACCAAAAGATACAAAGAATAAATTCTACTCAATCCAGTAAGGGATCTTATGGGGGGAAGATAGAAGCAAAAGCCAAGAACTAGGTGCTCTGTTAAGTAGGGCAATAGACATTATGCAAATGGTGAAGGTGGTTATTTTGGTTGCTTGTTTCTCAATTTGCTTTGTTTTCTTTCCATAGTTCCGGAGAATTGCAGGTGATCCTACTGATGTGTACAATATTCCATAGAGGTTATGGTCATAATGAGTGAAGGAAATTAATAATTTTGGAAAATGACCGTTGTTAATTACATTTAAAAGTAGAGAGATTCAGGGACCCTCTCAGAAACCCTAAGGAACTCTCTCTAAAAAGTAGAGAGATTCAAGTTTTCTTGGACATGTTTTCTTTTCCTATAAAAACAAGGTCACTGGTGATTTTCTCTAATGGCTCATTTTGATAACCCTTCAATCATTTTAACCTCTCCAGTTGTAAAAGTTTACACTTTGGTATAAAATGATCCAATAAACCCTTGGTATAAAATGATCCAATAAACAGTTGTCACGGTCACGTAAATGGAGCGCACTTCGGCCTAAACATGGTCCAATTAGCCAAAATAGTAAGTTATGAGCCATTTTGTGTATAAACTCCCAATAATAAATGATTGCTGGTACCGTCTACGTCAAGCATGAAAAATTATCAAGAAAATAACTCTTGGTGGATGAGAAATGGTGAAAATTTGTGTACGAATTTTTGAATGAAAGTGGACGAGTTTTAGATCCTCCAATTTGTCGTAAGTTACCCTTTTTTAGAGGTTCTAGTGTCTTTTCAAAGTTGTTATTTGCTGACAAAAGTTAATGACCATTGGATCATCTTAGAAACCAGCTCTTCTCTCAATTTAAAGGTTGCAATATTTTAAACATACTGAACTGAAACAGAGGAGAAGATTGTTGGTTTAATTGTTAGTCCTTCAAACATTATTTTCAATTATGTTTACATATATGTGGTTAGCTCAGCAACTACGTTGGAGAGTTGGGCTACAGTAACTGTGGTTTGATCATAGAAGTTAACATTCGTTTCCCTTTCAACAAGTAAATCTCGAAAACCTATTTATGCATTTGAAGCAGAGACAAAGTAAACCAGATTGCTAGCTAGAATGGTAACTTCAAGGTTGCAAATATATATCCTGGCTTTTTGTGCAAGCCTTCTCCTTGCAAGTAGCTCTAGCCATGGCCATTCTAGGCAACATAAAAAGCATGAAGCCATGTTCATCTTTGGTGATTCAGTATTTGATGTAGGAAACAATAACTATATGAATTCTACAACTTCTTTCCAGGCAATTTTCTTTCCATATGGAGAAACCTTCTTCAGTTACCCAACTGGTAGATTCTCCGATGGCCGTCTAATCCCAGATTTCATTGGTATGACCCTTTAAAAATTATTAATGTTATGCTCTTCAAAACACTAGTGATTATGCATAACTGAATGTTAACTTTCCATCAATGCTGCAGCTGAGTATGCAAAGTTGCCATATTCACCACCATTTTTGCAGCCTGGGTTGAACAATTATACTTATGGGGTGAACTTTGCATCTGCTGGAGCTGGTTCTATAGCTGAAACTCATCAAGGATATGTATGTGATCTTGCTTCTATATTTGCTTTCTAAATTTGTATTTTAGGCTTGAAAAAGTAAGCTGCTTGTCTATATTTGCAGTTG